CAGAAAACAGAGTAATTATTAACTACTCTAATATCTCATGCAATTTTGACCTCGATAGTTTTGAGTTTCTTGGGCTCTGGAGGAGGCAACTTCTGGACAGTAACAGTCAAGACCCCGTCTTGTCAAATAGCAGAAATGGCATCAGTATTCGCATTCTCCGGCAGAGAAAATTTCCTCATGAATTTTCCAGTCCTTCTCTCCATTCTAATATACTTAGCCCCTTCTTTCTCTTCTTCTCTCTTCCTTTCTCCACTGATCAACAACACGTTGTCATCTTCCACCTGCACCTTAATATCTCCGGATTTCAACCCTGGCATGTCCACAACGAAAACATAGGAATTAGGGTATTCCTTCACGTCGGCTGGTGTTGCAGCCATTGCCTTAGCGTCACGTACATAGTTCCTTGATGGGGCGTTGACGGACTTGTCGGAATCTTCACCGGCGGCGTCCATAAGGTGCTGGAGAGTGTGGAACAATGGTGTGTCAATTCCACTTATCTATCAGATTCGATTGTCAAGATATTCGATTGTCTATTATTCACACTTATCTATCAGATTCGAGAAAGGTCCCAATATTCTATTATTTATCTATCATTAATCTTTGTCAGAAGAAGGAATTATCCACCTCATTCAATATTAGGTAAATTCTTCTCCTTATTTACTTTAATGTCATTTAATGCTATTTATTGCTTGATAGTCCATCATCGTTAATTATGTCTAGACATGGAATGCACACCATATTTAATCTCCTCTCACTGCTGTCATTTATAGATCTGAGGTTGTTATCTTTAATTCCTCATGACACAAAATTAATTAGTTTAACGAAGGGTTTGCAATTTTTTGGTCAAACATAGACATAAAGGAGTTCAGATAAAAAGAAATTGCATTCTCCATATTGAGATAATTGCACTTATGCATTGGATAGGAACAATTGCACTCTCTATATTGATAGTAGTCGAAGAAACAAAACTAGATAGTAGTAGCATCTCCCCTGCAGTAAACAAGAAGAGATGGCACACCTAGACATTTAGTTCTTCACATTTCATCATACTTCAAAAAACATGGGAAATATTAAAGACAAACAGAGGGAAAGACCACCACTCCTAGATCTCTACCATTTTATTACCATCAAAACAGAGCATTTCCCAATCCCATGTCCAGAAAACAGAGTAATTATTAACTACTCTAATATCTCATGCAATTTTGACCTCGATAGTTTTGGGTTTCTTGAGCTCTGGAGGAGGCAACTTCTGGACAGTAACAGTCAAGACCTCGTCTTGACAAACAGCAGAAATGGCATCAGTATTTGCATTCTCCGACAGAGAAAATTTCCTCATGAATTTTCCAATCCTTCTCTCCATTCTAATATACTTAGCCCCTTCTTTCTCTTCTTCTCTCTTCCTTTCTCCACTTATCAGCAGCACGTTGTCATCTTCCACCTGCACCTTAATATCTCCGGATTTCAACCCTGGCATGTCCACAACGAAAACATAGGAATTAGGGTATTCCTTCACGTCGGCTGGTGTTGCAGCCATTGCCTTAGCGTCACGTACATAGTTCCTTGATGGGGCGTTGACGGACTTGTCGGAATCTTCACTGGCAGCGTCCATAAGGTGCTGGAGAGTGTGGAACAGTGGTGTGTCAATTTCCATTAGCCTGAAATCCATCTTCCTCTTCTTGGTTGAATTGGTTTCAATTTTGAGATACTTTTGAATGTAGGATTTTGATTTGCTGTATTTTAACTAGGTTTTCGTTTTGGATTGCAGAGAATGATGGCAGAAGTTGGGGTGATTATATAGAGGAAAGTTAGAAGCTTCTGGAAGGAAATAGAAGCACAAGGTTGGATGGTTCTTTTCTTCTTCAAGTTGTACATGTTCTACACTTGTCTAGAACCTTGTTAATCGTTAGATGTACAGTATAGTCCCCTATTTTTCCTTTTTTTAGGTCTAAAGGTGTGGTATTTTTTATTACTCCTGAATATTTGGCCGCCGTGTTTCAGCATTTATTTATCCGAAAGGGTTCAAAATGCCCCTAAATTATTGGAAAAGGTTTAAAAATACTCTTCATCCATCTATTGAGCTAAAAATTTCCTTCTATCTACTTTTTTGGTTCACTTATGCCCTTTGACCGTAATGTCAATGCTAAATTAAAAATAATTATTATTCTTTTTGTAAAATTTAAAAAATAAATATTTTACAAAATATTTTCATTTTTTTTAAACTAACGCACTAATAGTCCCCTAATTTAGTAAAGTCTTCTTTTTCAGTTTTTATAAAAACAATTTAGTTTTTACAAAAAAATATTTTTTTCATTTTTTTTCAATTTTTTAAAAGCATTTTTTTGTAAAAACTGAAAAAAAATTGTAAAAATATGTTTTTAATAAAATATTTTTTTTTTCATTTTTTTCAGTTTTTAAAGCATTTCGTTTTATTTTCGTTTTTCATTTTTTGTTAAAGAAAAAATATTTTTGTTTTTTTAAATAAACTGAAAAAAATATTTTGTCCGTTTTAAAAAACGAAAATATTTTATTAAAAACATTTATTGTTCTGTTTTTACAATTTTTTTCAGTTTTTACAAAAACTGAATTGAATTCCGGGAATTGAATTCGGGGAAATTGAATTCCGGGAAGTTCGGAGTTTATTTTTAAAGAGAATTCTCATTTCAGAAGCTTTAAGTTGAAAGAATGGACTAAGATTGAATTTTTGAGTAAACGACCTCGGATTCGGGATTTGAAGGTTCCAGCAGGTTCGTATGATGGTTTCGGACTTGGGCGTATGTCCGGATCGAGTTTTGGAGGACCCGGGAGCATTTCAGCGCCTATTGTGGAAGTTAGCTTTTGGAAGAATCTCATAAGTTTGGTTGAAGTGCATTTCAGTGTTATCAGTGCCCATTTGGGATTTCGAGTATGAGAATAACTCCATATGGTGATTCTGGTATTGGGAGCATGATCGGAAGTGAATTCGGAGGTCTGTAAGTCATTTTGGAGTCTTTTGGCTAAAGATAGAAATTTGATGGTTTTTAAGAAGTTTGACC